ATATTCATGCTTCACGAATTTCAGAGTATTGCTCTGGTTTTGCTTTCTGCAGCCTGCACAGTAGTTAGTTGGCGAATTGAATAAAACTATTTGTTGTGTGTTGACACTGGCTTCTTTTTTTTGGGTTCAGATTCTTCCCATTTCATGAATTTCAAACTATTGCTTTATTTCTAGTTCTTTTCTAGGATCATTACTAAGTAATGTGATGCGATTATTTATTTTCTGTAAGAGACCTTTTTTTTTTATTTTTTTCTTTTGTTGCTTCTTTGGCCCATGCATTTTTTGTTTAATTGTTAAAAGATGTGTTTATTCATATCTATTTCGCTTAGGGAGCTTTGGTGTCCATTTGATCAACATTAATTTTTTGCCCACCTTCATATAATTTAAATTCCCCAGGAATCGAGCCTTATTCTTGTCTTATATATGTGTATCCATTCTTATGTTTGATATTGCAGTTTGCATGGACAATGTTAGCAAATTTATTTATCGTCTAAATATAATATGGAATTTCATCTCTATTCTGTGCATTCGGTCCAGAATGCAAGCTATTCTTTTCATTTTTTTTAGTCATATCCCACCTTTCCTAGTAATTATTTGATGACGGACACAAAAATATCCTCAATGTACTTTTGACTTTGACACTTTATAGTGAATTTGAACATTTTAGACTCATATATGTGAAGTTAGGTTTGCAACAGCCTGATTTAAAAAAATTATTTTCCGGAGAGGAGGGTTTATAAGAAAAAAAGAAAGTATTTGTTGGAAGTCTAATTCGATTACCACTTGGTATCCTCTGTTTCTTGGTCAAGGCTTCTTGAGCCTAAGAAAGTGATTGTTCTGTTAATTAGATGTGAACGGTTTCTTTTTTTAAATGCGTATTTTGAACTTTATATACGTTGTTGACACTTAGGGATAGTTTTATCAAGTAAACATCGACTATGTACTCTATCAATCAGCTTATTTTTATTGTCTGTCTCAAGTTTCTTTCGAGAGATTTCTGTTTCCTGATAGTCTGTGAAATTGGATATCCAGAATTTTGGTTCAAGAGCAGACACGGTCTTCTGTGGTGTTTTTGATGGCCATGGCCCTTATGGTCATATGGTTGCTAAGAAGGTTAGAGATTCTCTTCCTTTGAAGCTAAGTGCACATTGGGAAGTTAATATAAAGAGCGATGAGGTTCTCCCAGGTCTTAGTTTGAATAGTAAGGGTAGTATTTGCTCGGAAGATACTTCCTTCTTATCGGCTGACGAGGAAGCTAGAGCTTCTATAGATTTCGGAGAAATGGGAAAGCATCCTGAGATTTTTCAGACATTGAAGGAATCTTTACTAAAGGCTTATAAGTTTATGGACAGGGAACTGAGAATGTATACAAATATAGATTGCTTCTGCAGCGGGACAACGGCAGTGACTCTGGTGAAGCAGGTATACATTAAGCACAATACTGATACTGATGGGGTAATGTAAGAATATTTATGTACTTAAGAATGTCTTGATTATCTTTTGTAGGGTCAGGATCTCATAATTGGATATATTGGGGACTCAAGAGCTGTATTGGGTACAAGAGATCAAAATAATTCACTTACTGCAGTACAGTTGACTGTGGATCTTAAACCTAATCTTCCATGTCGGTACTCTCTCTCTCTCTCTCTCAAAAATGATCTTAAACCTAATCCCCATGTCGATACATTGACTGATTTCAACTCACAAGTTTATGAACTAGGATCTTTACTAGATTCTCAGATGTTCTTGTTCTATCCCAGTAGGTAAATGTTACTGTTTTTGGTGGTGGATTCTTAGCCTTCTGATTATAAATTATTGTCCACTCTAATTTATTTGTTCTAGAACAGAAAATGTTATAGTTCTCCTAATAGTACCTTAATTATTTACATGTTTGCACTTTTGGAGTACGGCAAAGACCTGCCACATAAATAATGGCTGATCTACTTCAGTTTCTTCTCTCCATTTCTTTCTCTTTTTCTTTACTCTTTTTTATGTATTAAATTCCTTCTTTGGCAGTTGTTTAGCTAATATCCTACGGTTGTTTTACATATTCATTTTCATGTGAATAAATAAATTCTCATGTGAAATTCTGTAAAACTAAAATTATTCATTTAGGAAGAGATACAAGTATCGCCTCTTTCTTAACTACAACATTAATTTTTATAGCGGAAGCAGAAAGGATTCACAAATGTAAAGGACGAGTTTTTGCACTTCAGAATGAACCTGATGTTGCAAGAGTATGGCTGCCAAATAACGACTCCCCTGGTCTTGCAATGTCTCGTGCATTTGGAGATTTCTGTCTCAAGGACTTTGGTCTTATCTCCGTGCCTGAAATTTGCTATAAACGTATTACTGACAAGGATGAGTTTATAGTCTTGGCAACAGATGGGGTATGGAACTCAAGGTTTATATTGATGGACTACTTTATTCAATTTCTTGACATTTGTTGTGGGTTTGGTCTAATTATTATCTTCATTTTAGATTTGGGACGTGCTATCAAACAAAGAAGTGGTAGATATTGTGGGTTCTTGCCCAACGCGTTCATATGCTGCCCGCTCTCTAGTAGAGTTGGCTGTTCGGAGTTGGAAGTTCAAGTATCCAACTTCTAAGGTTGATGACTGTGCAGTAGTTTGCCTCTTTCTTGATTCAAACTCAAACGACTCAAATATTTCAACTGCAAAATCCAAAGAAAACGTTGCTCCAGAGGATTACTTCAACAAGAAATATAATTCTCTCTGTCCAACTGGATTTAGCAGCTCTGGTACTGTTAGAACTAGTGAACAAGTTCTTGGGGAAGAAAATGAGGAGGCTTTGGAAGCAAACAAGGAGGAAGTCTCCGACCTCGAGGAAACTAACGTGGAGGCTGGAAAAGAGTGGTCTGCTCTCGAAGGAGTCGCCCGTGTGAACACACTATTGACCTTGCCCAGATATGTTCCACCCAAAGAATAGAAAAATGCCGCTGGAGATGCTAATGGTAGGAAATGAAGCCAAAATCCTTATCTGGATTTATTTTCCTATTTATTTTGTAGTTTGTGTTTTCCTTCATAAATTTTTTCCCCCGTCTCGAAAAAATTAGGGCCTTGGATTTTTATTCTGGACCAGAGAGGTGGTCCCGCCTGGCTGTATTAGATTTTCTGGGAATAATTCTTTTCCTCTCCAGTGTAGGTAGAATTGGAATTTTTGCAGAATTTAACTCTCTTGTTTTTCCTTTGTATTGACATTTTTGGTCCTGAAACTTGTGTTGATAATATTTGTAGTAATGCCTTTCATTCAGTTCAACTTTTATAATGATTGATGCTTTCCCATTTTCTCTTATCTGATATTTATGTTCCTTCTTCGTTTTACCTAATGGTTTTATTTTGTTTATTTTAACTAATGTGCTTGTGACACACTAGTGCTTGTTGTGGACTAGGTTTTATCCGAGAAGGATTACATTTTGTAGAATATTGATGTGAGTTTCTCGATTAAAAGAAGTAAAGATTGGTAATCATGTAAATCAATAGTGATGACAGCGAAGCAGGTTCGGGTTTGGGCACCTGCACCCTGCCTTAGATGGGGTGGGGGGCACGGCGATGGCTTGCCCAGTTTGTCGTCCCGTTTGTTTTATTATTATTATTATTTTCTCATCAGGGGGCGGGGTGGGTTCGGGAAGTTGGCGGGGCAGGAATATTTGCCATCCCTATAAATCAATTTTGAAGAAGGATGCATTGTAACAAAAACTAAACTAGTAAAATTTTCATTTTACGAGTTTATAAGCAGATTGAATACCTTCTAATCTGTAGCTGCGGATTGACTTCTTACATTATAGTAAATATATGTTAAACCCTTAATTATATGACGATTCTCGGCCTAAAATTGTTGCCCATAGCTTTTGATGTTTAGGTATGTAAATAAAAATTTATTTATTTTGTATATTATATAAATTCTTATTTTATTTGGGTCTAATAATTAGATTTTCATAGATCAAGATTTAATATATCAATATTGGGTTTGTTGATTATATCATATTAAATCATGAATTTTAGGTTCGAGAAAAAGTTAATTTGGATAAGTTAAGCCAAAGATATCGCAATTTTAAGAATAGATGTTATTTTAAATTGGTTTAGGATTCGGTGTAGTTGGAGCCACTAGTTTCACGTGTAGATATATAGGAATTCTACCTTGTAGTTTTAATTGTAGTGGTTGGCCATGATTCTACTTTTAATTTGATAAGTATTAATTATATATAGTTTTATCACAATCAAGTACATGAATCACATCATGATTTGCTTTAGCAAATTTTTTATTATTATTATTTATTATTATTATTATTATTATTATTTTTTAGCTTTATGCAATTTGGTGGTACACGTCTCTTTCATTCCAATTTCACCAAAATTCGATTGTCTTTTTCAACTATAAATACAATGTCAAAAGCCTCATCATTAACTACCAAAAGTAAATACAACATATACGGGAAAGAGAGAGAGAAGAAAGAAAGAAAGAGAAAGAGAGAGAAGAGAGAGAGAGAGAGAGAGAGAGAGTAGCATTGGAAATAAAGTTTGTATCCATCGAATATTATAGTCACGTATTTTTCAGTGCGGGAAAAAGATTTTAAACGTGCTTCAGATATTTCAAACGAGATAAAATACTTTAAGTGCAAGTATTTTTGTTTCCTTATGTGTTTATGTTTAATAAAACATGCATTGATTGCCAGTAGACATTCATTTTTTTTAAGAGATATGAAATCGTACGGGATTATAAGAGGACTTAAGATGGGTGTGTCGCTTGATTACCAATATACTTCATAAGATCAGACGGTGTGAATTGTAATCATTATTGTTATATATATGTACATGAAAACCGCACGTATCTTACTAAGTATTTTCGAATACTTACTCTTACAAATTTTTTAGGGTTAGTTCGGATCGATTGAAATTGTAGAAGGGTGGTGACACGCATGCCAAGTGGATCAAATGAAAAGAAAAAGAAATAAGTTTGCCGTTTTTTAAATTTACTAATTAGTTTAATTTTGTTTAAAACGTGTTATTTTGAATTAGTTAGGAGTTTTTGTTATGTTTAGACAAATTTTTCATATTTTAAATTTAGATTTATAAATGTTGCAGTTATTTGTTGAATAAAGAATTTTATTTTATAGTTCCGCACTTAAAATAAATAAAAAAGAGTTTTTCGTAACGTTTTGGAGTTTATAGAAAATTGGAGCGTTACAGCTTGATATCAGAGCACGGTTTGACCTTTCTGTATATATATTTTTTTAAAAAAATTAAAAAGTTCACGTGAACAGTATGGTACTGTTCACGTGAATAGTAAGATATAAAAAAAGTTTTGAATTTTTTTGAATAGTGTTACGTGAACAGTACCAGTACAATTACTGTTTACGTGAACAGTAAAGATAAAAAAAAAATTTGTCTTTATGACATGACAGAATTCTAGGATTTTAAATATAATGTGACATACTTTGAATATTGCAATTTTTTTATTTTTTATTTTTTTAGATTTTGTCTCATTTTGTAGTAGTTTGGATTACCATTTACATCAATACCCATTTATTTTTATGCATTTGTCTCTTTATTTTGAAGAATAAATGATTGTTTAAATTGATGTCGAGTAATAGTAATTTAGAATTTAAATTGTTATAGTTTCATGCCTGTGGTTTAAATCTTACATGTGATAAATTTTTATGTGTTTTAACTTTAGCCTTTGGGGATGTTTTTAAAAAAATGGACCTTTGAAAAAATTGATATTTTAAGAGATTTCATGTTCGATTTATTGTTTGAATTTTGTTGAATTGCGTAATTGTAAAATTGAAAGGTTTTGTTAAAGAGACCTAAACTATCTAAGAAAAGTTTGGGATTTAAGAGGTTCCCTTCCTCATCTGGAAGCCTTATAATTGTGCGTTATTCAAATCGACAAGATGAAAGACAATATTTTGGACAATTCTAAACTTAAGAAAATTCAAAATTTTGAAACTTCTATTTTGAGAAAATTTTATTAAAAGATATATACATGTACAATTAAAAAAAAAAAAATTAAGCTTGGGGTGGTCCATAATTGTCCATTGGGGTCGACCCAATTCAAGTATATCGGGTGTTCTCTAATCCAAACTTATGTGTGCATTTTTCTAGCACAAACTTATAATGAAATTCTTTCTACTGTCTCGAGTTCATCAAATCACGAACGAGATATACACTTTCGAACAAAAGGATCTCGAGAGCTATCTCAAAGCATGTAAAATATTCAAGGACAATTTCAAGTCTACATTTTTATTCAAGCTTGTATCCTAAATACCATAACATGGTCGACATTTTAGTAAGAAGATCAGTCATGGGCATGCCCATAGACGAAGTATATGAGCTATATGAAAGAATAGCAAAAAATCAATCTATGTGACCATCTAACATAATGGAGGTACTGACAAAGAACTGGACAACCTTACTCAGATAGTGCACATGGTGCAACATCCTATATCGATTTGTGAAGAGGTACAATATTCACAAAATTTTCAAAGGCAACAGAACTATTCTAACTCCAACACATATAATTCGAGTTGGAGAAATCATCGAAAATTCTAATAGGCTAATAATCAAGATCAGTGAAATTAGATTCAAGGCTATCTACAAGGATTTCAGCAATAACAAGAGACGAAATCATCTTTAGTGGATCTAAAGGTTACTTATCATAATGATTGAAACTGCACTCCAGAATCAGCAAGCCTCTATTCAAAATTTAGAAAATCAGGTGGTATAGATAGCAGTTGTATGTCCAACAGAACACAAGGTACTCTATCAACCGACACAGAAAAGAATCCATGGGAATAGGTATTAGCTATTGGAGCTTAATATATAATAGTTGATACATCACCAATCAAGTTTGTTGAGCTTGTACGAGCTTATATGCTACACATCTCATTCACTCGAAAGTTTCGAAAGCAGCCAAAAGATGAACAGGTCAAGGTTATCATTTCAAGAAGTGGAATTCAGTTGCCGGAAATCAACATAAAAAATGAAATAGACCTAGAATCGATATCTACCAGAGTCTGAAGAATCAACAAAGGTTAATCAAGAAGAACAGTAAGACAATCCACATGCTAAGGCCATCGTTCTTGTTAATAAACACACACCTCAACTTCCATTCCTTCAACGGTTGCTAAATAAAAAATTGGAAAAACAATTTAAGAATTTCATAGATGCCCTCATGTAACTTCACATCAATATTCATTTCATAGACGCAAATTTACAAATTTCAAATTATGAAACTCAAAAAGATGTTGATCAAGAAGAAAAAATTGCCAAAATACAAAATAGTGGCTTTATCTGAAGTGTGTAGTACAATCCTACAGCATAAGCTCTCTCCTAAATTAAAAGATTCAGAGAGTTTCACTCTACCTTACTCTACAGAAAATTCACATAATATAAATGCTTTTATGAATTCGAGAACAAGTATTAATTTAATGATATTGTCTATCTATAGGAAATTAGGATTGGGGGATTCAAAGAAAATTTCAATAACTCTACAGTTAGGTAATAGGTCAATCAAGCATCCTTATAGAATGGTCGAGGATTGCTCATCAAAGCTGAAAATTTCATCTTTCCAAATGATTTCATCATAATTGATATAGAAAACAATCAAGACATACCAATAATTTTGGGAAGATCATTTTTAGTCAAATAATAATAATAATAATAATAATAATAATAATAATAATAATAATAATAATAATAATAATAATAATAATAAAGTCAAGGAATTGACTATAAACAAACGTTTACTGGGAGTAATCCAATTTTTTTTCCTTTTATTTATTATACTTTTTAGAAAATGGATTAGAAAATATAATAATTTTGGTATCTTTCCTATAGGTTGGATGAGCTTAATATAAACTCTTCCATGTTTTAAGGATTAATAATATGTATTTATTTTGTAAGAACTTGACTCCTAAACACACAAACTTACATGGGACAAGTGAAATAACGCACCCAAGTAGACCATCCAATCGAACACTTTCGATCCAAATCAAACACCAACTTTAGATTGATATTGGGAAGTCCTTTGTTCTATTTGCGTGCTTGTTCGTGTGTAAAAAATGAATATTCATATATATATATATATATATATATATGTGTGTGTGTGTGTGTGTGTGTGTGTGTGTGTGTGTGTATGTGTGTGTGTGTGTGTGTGCGCGCGCGTGTGCGTGTGTGCGTTCTTTTCAATTTTATTTTTCATTTTGTATGCTTGTGTGTGATGGATAATCTTGCCTACTACGATACATATATTGAAATCATGTGTTAGATTATAAATTGTGAAA